AAAAAAAAAAAAAAAAAAGGACGCAGTTAAACCATGGAAATTTCAACCCTGTAACCCCAGCTTCAATGATAATCTCTTTCATACAACACTGCAGTGAGTGTCCAGAGAACCAATCCAGGGCAATTTTCACGAAAAACAGTATCACATGTATGTCAGAGATGGAAACATCATCGCTGGTAAAGCAACGACACTGCGATCTATTTCAGTGCAAAATCAGCAAAACAAGATGGCCGTTCGATGGTCGAAAAATAACCTGTAATCTGGGCCACCGAGCTCTTTGATCCTCGTCTCCCAAGCATATTTCAGACGCAACAGTTTGTTGATTTCATCGTTTAAATCCCGAATTTTGAATTCACCCAATCCGGGGTTTTGTATTAAAGCAATTTTCTTTGCGATCTCCATCGTCACTTGTTTGCGATATCGCTCAGCGTCATCTAAAAAAGACAGTAGCAACTAGTTGAGAAAGTGCCGAGTCTGTGCCATATCCCTCGAAATCATGTGGAAATTTAGCCTCACCTTTTTAACCTCAAATATAACTTGGCAGCGAATGCAATTTAAAAATCCGCTTTTTTGTTTGCAAAAAATTAAGAAAAAATTTTATTATCATCCCATCTTCCCATTCCTGTGCTTTTGATGGAAGAAGGACAGCGTTTTCGTTGTACAAAAAAAAAAAAGAAAAAAAAAAACCAATAATTTAATATAATTATCAATGGCTTACTTAAAACTGTGCATTCATATACATCATTTGGGCGCTTCGCAACTGGGCCTTTCTCCTCTTCCTCCTTCATTCGCCGCCATCTGGCCAATGCTGTCATTGCCTTTTCAGCATTTCGAGCCTGAAGTAAACGGAAAATAACAAGCGTTCACGCTGTTTAACAGGCTTTTACGCAATTCAAAAAAAATCAATAATTTTGTAAAAACCAGTAATTTTAAAAAAAAATAAAGCTCAATTTTTCCAAAAAAAAAAAAAAGTCTTACCATTGTGCACGAAGAATGACGCCTGCTTCTTACGAAAACAAAGCCTATAAATAAAGAATTCATTTTAAAACAAATATTTTTGACCGACAAATATAATCCATAATCACAAGCGGCAGAAATGAGCTAAACGCTAATTAAACTGAGGTTCCACCCGGAAGCTGAGCGGACGGGTTAAGAATTTCATCGAAATACTCTAGATAAGTTGCAAAATGTGCCACAACTTTACTGTAACCAACACCAAAAGACTGTCGAGCAACAGGCTTTTAACTTACAGCACAATAGACATTTGATCGGCAATGCCAAGAACTCCAAAGTCAAAAAATTCCCTCAATCGCTGTGCATCGGGGCCGAAAGTAGGACCCTGCTAGCAGCAACCATTCAATGACACAGCCACTGATGGTGATGACCCCTCTTCCACGAGCTGTTC